AGGCCGGGGCGGGAGCTCGCGCGGCGAGTGGGGCGGGTCCCGACGCGGTGTCCGCCGCTGACGTCGCCGGGGGAGTTCGCGGAGGAGGAGTCGCCGGGCTCCGGACGGATGAGCCTAGGAAAGGCCGGGGCGCTGCCAGTTCCTCCAGGCCGCCACCTCCCGCACTGCCCAGCCGGGTCTCCAGCCACCAGCAGTGCCGGCGCTGGGCACGCGAGGCGCGTGGAGCATGGGCGGCCTGGTGACCTAGTGTCCAACCACCAAGGGGCCGCGCGTCGTCCCACTCCCCACTCTCCTGCTGGGCGGATCTCTGCACACCCGGGGCCCGCGGGCGGCCGGCGCGCCGGTGACCATGCACGGGGACGCCATCTGCAGCGCCCTGCCCACCATCCCCTACCACAAGCTCGCCGACCTGCGCTACCTGAGCCGCGGGGCCTCGGGCACCGTGTCGTCCGCCCGCCACTCCGACTGGCGCGTCCAAGTGGCCGTGAAGCACCTGCACATCCACACGCCGCTGCTCGACAGGTAGGGCGGGCCCTGGAGGAGCCCCGATCTTTACTGCACCCCGCGTCCCCTTCCCAGAACACGCGCGATCGGGGGAGCTGGCCTTGGAGCCCAAATGCCAATTGCCACCACCACCACCACCCCCATCCCAAGCCATCTCTCCAGGAAGTCGGTCGAGCTTTGGAGGGGGCGCATTTGGAGAAGAGGGAGGTATCTGCACCCCTGGAAATCACCCACCTCTTTCCTGCGCTCTTCTCCCTGCCGACTTTCCTCTCCTCCCTTCTTTCCTTGGCTACCTATCCTCTCTCCCTGCTCTAAACTTCTATTCGCAATCACAGCCCACTAGAATGGTGTTGATTGAAGTTGACGTGTATTTATAATCGTGGGCTTCGGCTTGGGCTTCGCAATCGGATTCTAGGGCTGTAGGTAGCTAGCTCTTAGCCACAGAGCTGAAATGTGGTTGCCGAACTGAAGTCCTCAGTAAGTGTGAAATATGCAATATTGATCGCATACCAAAATGATCATTTAAAAAATTGTCTCTGTGCATCATGTTTTTATAATTTTATTCGATAGTTGCCGCTTTCGAGTCTGGGATGTTTTGGTCTGAGGTTTTTGCTGGCTTTTTGTTTTGTTTGTGGTTGGTTACGTATTGTTGTGAAAGTTTAAATCTCAAACTCTCTATACTTGACAGTTCAGTTCTCTCAGAGTGAAGACTATCCCTACACAGGAAATGTGCGTTCTTTTTTTTTTCTCACAGTAACATTGAATTTACAAAGCTGTTAAATGGCCAAAAATTGTGACTCTTTCTCACATCCTCGAAGAGGTTCCCATATTCAGAAAAAGCTAGCATTAGTTTCTGTTTCCAGAAAAAGAGTTGCCAGATACCGTGGAAGTGTGACTGTATGTATTAGTCACTAGACGTGTGTATTTTCCTTCCAACAGGGAATTTGGCCAGGCCTTGTATTTAGTTCTTAGTAAATTAACATCCATGATTTCAACATTCTCTTCTCCACTTCCTATAAAAATACATCATGATAAAGGCCTCATTGAACAGAGGCAGCTTCCAGGCAATACCAGACAAATTTCTTGGCTTCAGCCCTGCCAAAAATGATTTGACTTTCTTTCTGAGTGTGACTCTTCTTTCATTGTGGACTAGATCACATGGTAGATTTTGGACACTTTTGGAGATAGTTTCCATTTTTGTATTCCACAATTCCCTTCAAGTGATTTGTATTTTGTGGAGCAAATGGTGGACAAGCATGTTTATGTAGTCAACTTTCTAACTTAAGTTAGAAAGAATGAATATATTTTATAACCAACTCTACAAATATTATATAGGAATGTAGCACTGAGACTGTTAAGTATTTTAATAGAATGATTGTCTCATTTTTTCAGTACTTTAACTTTGTGCCATTTGAGGGCTATGGGATAGAGAGAAATCCCTTCTATACACAGTAACAACTTTCAAAATATAAAATGCTTTGCTATTGTGGATAGGAAGTCAATTCTGTCTTCAAAGAAGCCATAAAACCTGTGAAACATTCTGGCCTTAGCACATGTCATTCTTTTTTCCACTTGTTATTTTTTAACTTAATATTAGTAATGTTTATGTAGTCTGCACCTATGGCTACCTGCAGTTGACTTACATTATAAAATTTAAGTAATAAATACTGAACATATACTTCATAAGCTCCAGTGTAGATAATACCTGCATTGTTATGTATGATCACCTGGGGAAAATAAATGTGTTACGTGTTATTTTAGTGACTGCTGAGTCATTCTCTATTACCTGATTTCTATCCAGTGATGGCCTTTCTCAATAGTCTTCCTACCCCTTATGGGTAGATGTCTCTTATTGGCTATCCATGTTCCTTTTAGCTAGCATAACTGCTTTTTTCCCCAACTGAAATTTTAAGTAGGGTAATTTTAGTGATATTTTTATCTTTAAACTCATTTGACTTTATTGTCTTACTCTGTCTTCATGAACTCTATGTTCACAAACCGTCTACTTGCTTTTCTGATCAAGTAATCGACTAGAAAGAATATAGGTTTTAGTGTACCATAGTTGCAGTTTGGATCTGTGTGGTTAGTGGAAAATTGTTCTGTTTTCTGACCTCAGCTCAATATTCTTATATATAAAATGGAGAGAATGGAAAAGGGACCAAATTTAGAGGGTTGAAATGAGAATGAGAGTGCATGTGACTAACACATAATAACATCATAGCAAAAGGAAGAATGCCTCCAATAATTGGAATAGGAAGGAAGAGTGTTAAATGCCACATGTCACTGGGACTTCCATATCATGCTTTCTGTTTAATTCATTCTCAGTATCCAGGAGTCTTCATGTTCCTCCTGTGACTTCCTACAAGGATGTTGAACAGTAACTGCCTTGTCAGCCCATGTCTCTTGGGGCAAATACAGAACTTATCTGAACTTAAGGAACATACATTTAATTAAACACGTCTTACAGACTGATACAATTAGTTTTGTAACAGTTTTGTAGGGATTAAGAGACAGGAAGAAGCTTTTCATTTTGTCGTCTTGCAACTGTTAAATTATAAAACATAAGCTATACTACTTAAAAATAAATGACAACAGATTGTCTTTGTTGTTGTTTTGATGTTTGGTTTGTTGGCTGGTTGGTTGGTTGGTAGGTTTGTTGATTGTTTGGATGGTTACTTGGTAGGTTGGTTGGTTGATTAGGTTTTAGCAAGTCATAGTCTCATCAGAAATGTCTGTTGTGTCTGTAGCAGCCCTTCATCCAGAGTTTGGGTGGTTTAAGAACAACTAATTATCATCACTCACCTAATCGGCTTCTCCTGGAAACATTTCTATTTTGTTATTGCTACCAACACCTACTTGTTCAGGATAAACACTGATGACATCTTCAATTCTCTTCCATTTAAAAAAAATCCCTCATGATTAGTCTGTCAACACAGCTATTAAGCTAGTGTTCTCTTTTCCATTTCCACTACTACCTTTATAGTTTTAATCTCTCCTTGTTTTACTTCTTAACCAGCACTAAAATCTCCTAACCCCTGACTTTCTGATCCTTTCTGATTCCAAGTTCACCAGCCTAAAATTTGCATTTGCTAATACATTTCTCCTGTTTAAAATCTTCAGTCACAAACTCAAGCCCTTATGGTATGGCTCCTGCCTATAATCCTAACTAGTCAAGAGGATAAGATCTGAGGATGGCAATCTGAAGCTAGCTGGGGCAGGAAAGTCCTTGAGACCCTGACCTCCAATAAACTACTAAGAAAGCTGGAAGTGTCACTGTGGCTCAAGTGGTAGAGCACTAGCCTTGAACAAAAGAAGCTCAGGGACAGTGCCCAGGCCCTGGTGCTCCAGGACTGGTACACATAGACACACAATCTTCCATCACAAATGACTATGAAATGAAATATAACTCTACCTAATTGACTTCTTTTGGAAGCATCTTTATTTTTGTTATTTCTGCTAACACCTATTGCCCAGTAAAAAAATACTATCCTTTTATTTTTAAATTTTATTGTAAAGGTGATGTATGCAGGGGTTACAGTAAGTCAGTCACTTACAGCAAGTAATTTCCTTTTGAACAGGGTCACCCCTGCCCTCATCTCTCCCACTTTTCCTCACTTTCCTTCCCTCTCCCCAACTTGTGTAGTTCAATAACCAATTTATCAGTGAAACTCACTAGACACTATGCTTGAAATAAACTATCCATTCTTTTTTTTTTTGGGAGGGAGGTCAGTAGTGGGGCTTGAACTCTGAGCTTGAGCGTTATCCCTGCGCTCTTCAGCTCAAGGCGAGCGCTCTACCACTTGAGCCACAGTGCCACTTCCGATTTTCTAGTGGTTCATTGTAGATAAGAGTCTCACGGACTTTCCTTCCCCTAGATTGAACCTAGATTCTCAGATCTCAGCCCCCTGAGTAGCTAGGATTACAGGCCTGAGCCACAGGCGCCAGCCTATCCATTCTTTTATATATTTTTTTAATTGTAAAGATACTGTTCAGAGTGGTTACAGTTACATGAGTAAGGTAATGAGTACACTTCCTATCAGCATTGGTACCCCCTCCTTTGTTTTTTCCTACCATCCCTCTCTCCCCAACTCCGCAGCCCCTCCCTCCTCCCCACCAAAGTTGTAAAGTTCATTTTCAACATAGTGTCTTGTACATCTCATTGTTACAATGGGTCATCCTGTGTCCTTATTTTAGCTTTTTGTTATTTCCCTTCCCCTCCCAATTTAGAAAAATGTAAATACAATATGCAGGGCACCAGAATCAAATACAATGAAGACAGGGGTTATACCATGAGGGAAGAACATACAAGAGAAACAAAAAAAATCACATAGTATATTATAAGTACATTAAAAACAACAACAACAAAGATAAAACCTCTTGTATCCTTATCTTGGGGTTCATTTTGCTTAGCATCATCTTATATGGTCATATGTACATAGCTTTTGACCTTTTCTGCTTGTCCTAGTAGTTATTCCAGATAAAAAACCATGGGACCTATGTTTCTTTGGGCCTGGCTTACTTCACTTAATATAATTTTTCCAAGTCTTTCCATTTCCTAACAAATGGGATGATGTCATTCTTTCTGATGGAGGCATAGAATCAACTTATTCATCAATGAAATAGAAGAAGCAACCCAAAAATTTATACGGAACAATAAAAGACCCTGAATAGCAAACACAATCCGTAGCAGAATGAGCAGTACAACAATACCAAATTACAAACGCTACTACAAAGCCATAGTAATAAAAACAGCTTGGTACTGGCACAAGAACAGATCTCAGGACCAATGGAATAAAACTGAAGACCCAGAAATGAACCCACAGACTTATAGCCACCTAATCTTCGATAAGGGAGCTAAAAAGATAGAATGGAAGAAACACAACTCTTCAGTAAATGGTGCTGGCAAAATTGCTAGATCCTTAATATCACTCTGCACCAGAATCAACTCCAAATACCTTGAAGTCAAAGCAGACACCCTGAAAACATTACAGGAAGGAATAGGAGAAACTCTATGGCTCCTTGGAACAGGCTGAAATTTCCTTAATAGAGACCCAGAAACCCAACAAATCAAAGTAAAGGTTGGACTAATGGGATTGCATGAAATTGGAGAGCTTCTTCATGGCAAAGGACATTGCTAGCAAGATGAATAGAAAGCCCACGGATTGAGAGAAGATCTTCACTAGCCATACAACAGACAAGGTCTCATATCTAAAATATACTTAAGAGCTCAAAAAATTAAATCCCCCAATAATAAATCCTCAAAGAAACAACCACCCAATTAATAAGTGGGCTAAAGACTTAAAGAGAGACTTCTCTGAAGAGGAAATAAGAATGACCAATAGGCACATGAAGAAATGCTCAACTTTTCTAACCATAAAAAAATGCAAATAAAACCAACATTGAGATTCCACCTCACCTCAGTTAGAATGGCTATAATCAAGAAATCTAATAACAACAGATGCTGGAGGGGATGTGGCCAGAAGGGAACCTTACTGCATTGTTGGTGGGAGTGTAAATTTGTTCAACCACTTGGGAAAGCAGTATGAAGGTTCTTCAAAAAAGTCCACATAGAGCTCCCCTTTGACCCAACAATCCCACTTCTGTGCATTAAAAGATCACAAACAAGGCCATACTAAAGTTACCAGCACAACTATGTTTATCACAGCATTATTTACCATACCTAAGATATGGAACCAACCCAGATGCCCCTCAGTAGATGAATGGATCAAGAAAATGTGATATATACAATGGAATTCTATGCCTCCATCAGAAAGACTATCCATTCTTAATATGTATTGAATACCTACTTCTCTGAACACTGTGGAATTCTTTGTTTATTGTGTGCTTTTATTTCTCTAAACTCTCCATAATGTGCACATTTTTTCATGTCTTTCTTGGTTTTTATTTATATGTATATACACTTCTTCTCTATTAATAATCCTTATAATCTGCCTTATACTTTTGTTTATTTTTCTTAAAAATTTCTGGGCAATTTGAAGGAAAATACATCTTTTTCTATTTATAGTCTCCATGCTGCTTAGCACCATTCTTCATTCATAGTAAAAGTAAATTTCTTTTTTGTTTTGGGGTTTTGTTTTTTGTTTTTATAAATAAGAAAGTGGGATATAGTGATATACCAAGGATCTGTTGCGAGCATTTACCTATTTTCAGTGTTTTTTTCCTAAGTTTTAGTGACCTTTATGCAGCCATTAGCATCTACTCGTTTAAATCTCAACATTTCAGTGTTTTAAGATTCAGGACACATTGGAAAAATTATGATTTGCAACTATAAAATTTAATATAAGATTTTAATCAAATTTATTTGTTCTAACTCAAAATAAACTTAATAATTTCCTTCTAGTACCAATCATTCTAACACTGATAGGCTTTACGAACTTCTTTTTTACACTTTGTTCCTCCTCTCTCCTAAGAAAAGTACAGTAATAATAATAACCTGTGTACAACACCTTTACCTGTCAATGGTTTATAGAAGTTATTTTGGTCTCTAAACAGATTTGTAGAATATTTAGGGTAAGAATTATTTCTCCTTTAAATATTATGAAACTAAGATCAAAAAAGTTGAAATTTTTCATGAGATCATATAGATAATTAATCCTATAGGCAAACTGTTTATTTTCCATTCTGAAATAACTCTACTTCTTTTTTTTTCTTAGTGAACGAAATGATATCTTAAGAGAAGCTGAAATTCTACACAAAGCTAGATTTAGTTATATTCTTCCAATTTTAGGAATTTGCAATGAGCCAGAATTTTTGGGAATAGTTACTGAATACATGCCAAATGGATCATTAAATGAACTCTTACACAGGGTAAGTACTGTACAGTTTTCAATGACTATGATTACCATTTGTCTTCACACTATACAATACTTCAGTTTTATATTAGATCAGATTATTTGGGGTATAGAAAAGAATTTGAGTAAGAATAAAAAAGACTTTTTGAGGTTATATCTAGATAGATAGATAGAGTCATGCTTTGTAGTCAGAAGGGCCTCAATTGTCCTGCACAGATTCCTCTCCTAACATTCAGACTAAATTCTAGTATCCATTTGCATTTTGTATAAGGTAGGAATGAGAAGAAGATAAGCTTTTCCTCAATCCACTGTTAGGCCATATTTATGTTATTGACTAGGATTCAAATTAAATGTTACTAATACCAGTTCAAAAGTTTTGAATTAAAGTCCAAATAAATTATCTCCAAGTACCAGACACATTAACTTGTCCAATCATGGATAGTAGTATAAGCCATTTACCTTTTGTCTCAAAGTTGTGGTTCCGCATTCTTGAAATATGTGTATTTGATACATTATTATTACTTGCTTGAACTTACATTCTTACAATCTCCAATCTGCATTTTCACTTCAATAATCAATTAATAGTCTATTTAATGAGGGTTGGTTTAGTTATTGCATTGTATCATCCAGTTTCTGGCACTCCTAGATTTCAGCGCATCACAGTGTAACCAAAGGAAAGTAGGTACCACTGTGAGATACTCATGGAGTCACTTCCTCTTTGTTTCAGAACACATCGCATTGTTTTCATGACTTGTGACCATCTGAAACAAAGATGGAGTGAAGTAACTGGTGTCAGTCTGTAAGGTTTGTGTAACCTCTATAGCAATCAAAATAACATCTGTCAATAAAGAACAATTTCTCCTTTCTAGAGAAAGGAAGATACATAGTATCTTCCCCCACCTCCTCATAGATATTCTGGCACCCAAATTTGGAGTCCAGTGGAAATTCTGTAGCCATCTCCAGGAGTTATGCTAACTCTTGGAAGGTATCATGAAATATAGAGTGAGTGCCCTTCTGCCCTTGTCTCCTTAGCCATACGCCTCCTTGTACAACTATGCTGTAGAGAAACCTGGTGATTCCTTTTAATTGCATGCTTTTCAGGAGGAAAAAACTTGCCTTTTGTCAAATTAAAGGATTCAGAAACTTCAGAGAATGGGATTATGTTATATATCAGAGAAAGTAATGTTATACATTAGTGTTGGGTCTTTCCTTTGGTTTCCTATTTTATATTATCTAGGAGAGGGTAGCATCCTGTTATATCCACAGAAGAAAAAAATGCAATGTACTGAAAACCATCTTAAAGTATTTTGAACCACTCTTCCGCCACATTGATCACTAAACTTTAAATATGTCTATTTTCAGAAATAATTATCAAGGCAGTTTTAAGCTTACAATAGAAGCAGACTTTTTTACGGTACTCAGGAAAACATCTTCAAGAATATACTGCCTGATAATGTTGACTAGTCAAATTGTCTTGTTTTTCTGAGTATATACATTGTACTGGGAAGTGAAATTAACTATTATATTCAGAATACGTTTAGAAAGCTTATAGAGTTACCATATAGTTACTAAGAAATGTGGATTTTTTATGCAAATGTGACACTAGATTTAAAAGAAAATAAATCTTTGTCTCATTCACAAAAAGAAAACTCTTAAAGGTTAAATTTTCAAAGAAAATATGCATAAACTATATTATTAAAAGCATAAAATTAATCCTTACCATTAAATAGCAATAATATAGTCATAATTTTTATTGGTATAAGTTGTTATACAGTTACAATAAAATATGGCTTTATATTAATAGAAAAGTTTAAAATTTTGAATAAATAATTTGGTATGGATCAAAAACAAATTGTATGTAATTTTCTGTGTGTGTGTGTGTGTGTGTGTGTGTGTGTGTGTGCACTTCTGACCACAGTTACTTAAATTAGCCATAGAACCTTGCTGTGGATGTGACTGTGAGTGTATGTGTCTGGCTCTACATAAATACAAAATAATTGAGTCTTTGTCAGTTGAAGAAAAAAGAGTTAATCCCACATAGTTGCATAGCCAATATAAACTAAAAAGAAATATCAGCATAATAGCTACCATTATTGTTTCTAAAAATTGGAAGAAAGTGAGATGCAGAAATGTTAAGCAGTGTTAAATACCATGTCATCAATTGCACATATTTTACCTTAGTTTGTAATCCATCTTTGCATGAAATAGAATTTTCTAAGTGTGAAATTTAAACACTACTTTTCATTTTGTTTCTTTCAATATATTCAAAGAAAACTGAATATCCTGGTGTTCCTTGGCCACTGAGATTTCGCATCCTGCATGAAATTGCACTTGGTGTAAATTACCTACACAATATGAATCCTCCTCTACTTCATCATGACTTGAAGACTCAGAATATCCTGTTAGATAATGAATTTCATGTTAAGGTAATTTTTTAATGATCATGTGTCCAGATGCCAGTGGCTCACACCTATAATCCTAACTACTCAGGAGGCTGAGATCTGAGGATCCTGGTTCAAAGCCAGCCTAGACAAAAACATCCATGAGACTCTTTCATAACTTCTTTTTATAGGTAATATATTTTATATAATATATATGTTATTGTAGAGGTGATATACAGAGGAGTTATAGTTACCTAAGTCAGGTAATGAGTACATTTCTTGTTATTGTAGAGGTGATATACAGAGGGGTTACAGTTACCTAAGTCAGGTAATGAGTACATTTCTTTTGGGAGCATGTCACTCCTTCCCTCGCTCTCTCCCAATTTCTCCCCACCATCCCACCCACAGTTGTGTAGTTCATTTTCCACATAGTGTCTAGTGAGTACTACTGCTGTATTTGTTCACCCTTTGCCTCACCTCTTCTGTACTCTCCCCTTACTGTCCCAAAGACAAACAAATGAGACCAAAAGAAAGGACTACAAATACAGCAACAAAAAGCTCTTATCTCCAATTAAACACACAAGAAAGCCAGAGGTGGAGCTGTGGTTCAAGTGGTAGAGCACTAGCATTGAGTAAAAGTAGCTCAGCGACAACACCCAGGCCTTTAGTTCAAGCCCTAAAACCAGCACCAAAAAAGAAAAAAGTTATGTGACCTGACACCCATGCCTCAGATCTATAACATAGCTACTCAGGAAGCTGAAATGTAGAAGATCATGATTTAAAGCCCGTCTGAGTAGAAAAGTGCATCTCTAAAATAACCAGCAAAAAGCCGGCTTTTAGTATGACTCAAGAGATAGAGTATAGCCAGCCAAGCTGAAGTCTTTAAGTTCAGACTTCTGTCCCAATACTGGAGGAAAAAAATTATTTATGTCCTTAAGTTTAATTATTTTATATAGTAGTTTTAGTTATTTCTTTTATCTAGCCAATTTAGTATCTTTTATTTTATAAGCAGACAGGAAAGAGAGCTGAAGAAACAGGAAGGAGCCAGAGTCAGATCCAGTCCCCAAGGAAACACTCTCAGTGACCACTGTCCCCAAGTAAACACGACCTCCTACCTTTGACCACTTTTACCCAATAATACTGTGGTTTTATGAATCTGTCATCAAGGAATTCATTCATTTGGTCATAGTGCTTATACTCTAATTGTGTCTGAAAACACCATCACAGACACCCCCAGAGTTGTAATTTGTTGGCCACCTAGGCATTTCTTAATTCAATCCATTTGGTAATAAAATTTACCACACCAGTGGCCGTACCATTTTACATTATATCAGGAGTGTATATGATGCTTTATATCATCCTCAAATTAGCTACTTTTTGTATCTTCAAAGTTAGAATTAGATAAATATTAACTAATAGAGAACTGGGATAAGAATTGCACAACATGGCCCTCAGAACCTCCCTCCAACATGATCAAGATGCCCTGTCCTCATAAACTGCTTTGGTGAACGGCCACTCCTTTGTACAACCACTTAAGGATGATAAAAATTTGCAAAAAAAAAAAAATCTCCCTCCACTTCAATAGCAACTTTTTTTGTTAACAAATGAACACTTTTAGAAAATGATCAATCTGTTGGCTTGGACTACTACTGTAATTACCATAATGCAGCCAAGCCTTTGATTGACTGCTGTCCCAGACCCCAGCAGTGCGGCTTCTATTATCTCAACCTACTTCTTCCCTTCCCTCAAACTGTGAGCTAGACCACTCTTTAGTTGTGTTTTTTTTTCTTTTTTTACCAGTTGAGCTAATTTTTTTTTCAAATGTTGTGATTATTGACCATCTTCAGTTAGGTAAAAGTTCCCTAAAAACAAAACTTAAGTGTGTATGGTTAACTACCATGTGCCTAGAACATGCCATACAGAATCATTACACAGTCGTGTGTTGTATACAAAAGTGAATAAATTCCCCAATCTTCTGCATATACTAAGTACTTCTGCTAACTTAATGGTCAAATGTGTTATTGTAAGAGTACATACAAATATTTTAGAATATATAAACTATGATGCTAGCAGAGCTGTCAAAAAAAAAAAAAGGACCAAAATTTTGTCTGGAAGGTGGCTCAGTAGTAGAGTGCTTGCCTTGCATGCATGAGGCCCTGGGTTCCATTCTTCAGCATCAAATAAGTAGTAAAAGCTGGAAGTGGCGCTGTGGCTCAAGTGGTAGAGTGCTAGCCTTGAGCTGAAGAGTTGAAGGACAGTGCCCAGGCCCAGAGTTCAGGCCCCAGAACCGACCAAAAAGGACCAAAATTAGTGTTTTGTTTAGTAAATGTATGTGGAGCAGCAGTGTCATATGAGAAATGAACTGAGCACTGGTCTGATAATAATTTGCTTTCTCATGAATTCTTTCATGTTCTGATTACTTATATAATATCCTTTTTGTAATCTTCTAAATCTTTTAAAGCAAAGTTTAAGGATAGTATCATATATAAATATATATTTATGTAAAACTAGAATGTTTTTCCTTTTTAAAAGTTAGAGTGATACTTACTTTTTCAATTTTTTTCTGACAAACAGTATTCATACACATATATGTGGAGTGTGGTGAGATAACAATACATATAAACATTCATAATATCATATATTATGTGCCATATATTGCTCTGAGTATATTGCTTAGGATGACTCATTTAAAACTTTCTCTCAGTTCATCACAAGTATACCAAGTTTACACATAAGCAATCTGTCTACAGGGAAATTAAACAACTTCCTCAAGGCCAGACATTTTATTACCTGATATAATTGGAATATAATGAAATATTCTAGTCTCTAGAACCCATGTCCTCAACCACAGCTATATTATTTTTCAAAATCAACCAAGCTTGGCTTCTCATTTGTTACCAACATGGAACATATTCTGTTGTTTTATTCTAAAGACTTGTTCTTTTATTAATAGTAAGTTTATGAAACATGTTTTCTAAGGGTTTATAATTTTTATGAAATTTGTCTAAATGCTAATAAAAAATCACTTCTTGGACATGTTAGGAGAAATGTTTTGAATTAAACTTGTCAGTCGTGGGGCTTGAACTCTGGGCCTGGGAGCTGTCCCTTAGCTCTTCAGCTCAAGGTTAACACTGTACCACTTGAGCCACCGTGCCACTTCCGGTTTTCTGGTGGTTTACTGGAGATAAGAGTCTCACAGACTTTCTTGCCCAGGCTGGCTTTGAACCTCGATCCTCAGATCTCAGCCTCCTGAGTAGCTAGGATTACAGGCATGAGCCACCGGCACTCAGCTAAACTTTCAGTTTTTTTAATTAAAAATATTTAAATTTACTCCTTCCTCTTACAGATTGCAGATTTTGGATTATCAAAATGGCGCATGATGTCTCTCTCACAATCACGAAGTAGCAAATCTGCACCAGAAGGAGGAACAATTATTTATATGCCACCTGAAAACTACGAGCCCGGACAGAAGTCCAGGGCCAGTGTGAAGCATGATATATATAGGTATTGTATGTTGCTTTTGATCAAAGTAACCTTGTAAAAAGCACATAGCCAATCAGAATTGTAAAGTCGCATATTATTTTTTGTCATAACTATAGTGAAAAATAAATTAGAAGCTGTGGTGGCTATACTTTTACATCCCTTGAGAATTATTAGAATCTTCTATTAAGTTGTGATATAGGATTTTTTTAAATCATATATTATTTAGGAGGCAAAGCAACACAGTAGTTACCAATGTTTTTGCTTCCATATTCTCTTTCTGTGCAACCTTTCAGACCATGCTACCTGTTATCTTAGAGAAATAAACTCTTGAACATACTGAAAATGTTTCTATTTTAAAAATCCTTTCTATTTGTATAAGTGTGAATTCTTTGAACTGGGAATCAATGTATTTGGTGCCACTATGTTTTCATGTCTCAGCGGCAGTTATAATCTTATAGGAATAAGCACAGTGCATTGTTGTTAATATTGGCTACTTGACAATATAAAAGAAAGGTGATCATTTATAATGTGTAGAATTAGGGGGTGGGGCATGCACTTCTTTAATATGCTAATAAATATGAAATAAGACTTTCTACATTATTATGAACATATTTCATAGTCCTTTCAAATAACTTTTTGGTATCTTTTATAAATAATTGACTTGGTAAAATATGAACATACTCTTCACAATGTGAATGATTTATCTACAGAAAAGTTATATCAGTAATTAAACTATATATCTCTTTTTTAAAGATTGTAATTCTTATCACTTCTAATTAAACTCAATGACAGCCAATCCATTTCAGTAGACACCTAGAATAAGTTTCTTCTGCATTTACACTGAAAAAATGTGAATATGAATAAATGTTCCTTTAGATATTCTGCTCTCTGATAACTTTCATTTATTTTGAATAACAGAAGGAAACAAAAATATTAATATCTAATTTTGTAAAAACAGACAAAACTGAACCTACCATTCATTTTGTGAATTATGTCTTCATTTTCTATTTCAATATACTCTGTTAGAGAAATGAGGAACCATTTTTCCTAGATTTGGGTGAATTTCCTCTGTAATCCTCACTGTCCTACAAAGATGTTTGTTGGTACCTATTTAGTTCTGTGTCCCTTTTGAATGCATATTTGGTAGTGGCAAATTTTCTATATCCTATTTAATCATGTGTCCCAAATAAAAATTCAATGCAGCATAGACAGATGATTTACAACTGAAGTATAATTGCAAGTAGAATATTTTTATTATAAAAAAGACAGTACTAAGACCCCCCCCGCCAAGAAAATAGAATAGAGCCACATGAGGCAATATTTTTATTGTTCTCTACTTCATATGAAAAATAGCATTATGAAATTAGAGATTTTAAACAGATTCCAGTGGCTCACACCTCTAATCTTAACTCCTCAGGAGGCTAAAATCCAGGTGATCACAATGAGGCCAGCTTGAGTAGAAAAGTCCATCTACAGAATAACCAGCAAAAAGCAGGGCTGGAGATGTGATTTGAGTGGTAGAGTACTAATCTAACAAATGAGCCAAGCAGTATTGGCAAAAAAGAAAAGAAAAGAAAGAAGAAAGGAAGGAAAGAGAGAGAGAAAGAAAGTAAGAAAAGAAAGAGGAGAAGAACAGAGAAAATAGAAGGTATAGCTTGGTGTTCAAATTATCCTCATGTTTAACTTTAAGCTATTATAAGCAATCTCCTTCAAAACAACTATTGTTTTTCTTCTAATGGTATAAGAGCACTCTTCTTCTTGGTTATATATAGTGATACCTTAACAGAACTTTCAAAACTGGCATCTCCAACTTCAACTTTAAAAGTAGTGCTATCTTAGTTTATCACACAAACTTCATTTATAATAATGCTTTCTCTTTAACAGCTATGCAATGATCACATGGGAGGTGTTATCAAGAAAACAGCCTTTTGAAGGTAAGTAGATCTGGCTGCCTTATTCTAGGTAATGTCATATTGCTAGGACATCCTCACAACTGTCTAAAGCTCATCTTATTTTAGATCTTCCTCTACTTCATTCCGTATAAAACACAATAATGAGAAACATAATTATTTATCAGTTATGAATCTACCATAACCTAATTAGTATATTGGATTAAGGACAAGCCACTAAATCTCATGCAGAAGTCTTCATTTTTGCCATCTGCTACATGGGATTTATTCATTTCAATCTAGCAATAAAACTCTTCACATTACAGTTTTAATGTGTATTCCTTCTATAAAGACTAGAAATTGAAGACTAAATCTTTTTCAATCTTGTTTACATGCTTTATTTCACATTTGTATAGTTCTCTTACAATATAAGAAACATCCTCAAAATCTCGGTGGCTTGCAAAGTAAACACTTGTTTCTCATGAACATTAGATGTTAGTTGCTAGAGCCCTTCCCCTTCTGCTAGGTCTCACTTAGCTCTCTGAGCTCTGCCTGGCTCTGCTTCTCTGACATCCCATTGACCTGACCATTGACCTGATCAGGTCACAGGACCCAGCCAGAGTTACCAAGTGAAGGATCTCCTCTCCAAGGAGTCTCACCCTGGCTGGAAGATAGTGCCTTTTAACAAAAACGAATGCAATAAATGAGTCCTAAAAATGTAAGTTTCTTTTATTTTCATGTGGTTTGAGTACTTAATATGCTGGATCATAATATATCTACTCTTAATGAAATGTATTTTCTTTGACAGATGTCACCAATCCTTTGCAGATCATGTACAGTGTGTCACAGGGACATCGCCCAGACACAGAGGAAGCAAGCTTACCACATGACATCCCACACCGGGCACTCATGGTCTCTCTAATCAAAAGTGGATGGGCACAGAACCCAGACGAAAGACCCTCTTTCTTAAGTGAGTCTAGAATTATAACCTGCACCTTTTGCACAACAGAAATAGCTAAGATGCTGTGAAGAAAATTCTCCTTGAAAATTTTTGCCAGTTAGTTGGCTTGCTCAAAATTGTAGAAATTCTTTTTGCCCTTGCTATTCATTGCCTGTTGAGAAGACCTGAGAATCCCTAACCCCAAGGGGAGATCATAGCACAGGAGGAAGAGTTGCGCTCACTTATTAACCCCTAGCCTGTGCTTTAAACTTTCCAGAATGAGCACTGGGAACAGAGAAGTACAACAAAGACAATGTGAACTCATCATCTAGTTGAGAAAGCGCAGAAGAAAACAAAATGCAGATTGTGAAAAAATAAACATGGTAACACTAGGAAAGGGAGCAACTAAAGATCATTCGTAGGAGCAAATATTTGAACTCAGATCTGAAGCTTAATAAAGAGTCCATCATTAAAACCTGGCTCAACCAGAGTAAGGGTTCTGAGCCTAGAAGACAGGAAGAATTTACAAAAGATAAAGAGAAGTCTGCATAGCTGGCTTGTAGTGTGAGCAATGAAGGTGATAATAGGAGATAAGATTAAACAGGTTTGAGCCGGGCGCTGGTGGCTCACGCCTGTAATCCTAGCTACTCAGGAGGCTGAGATCTGAGGATCGCAGTTCAAAGCCAGCCCGGGCAGGAGAGACCGTGAGACTCCTATCTCCAACAAACCACCAGAAAACCGGAAGTGGCGTAGTAGCTCAAGTAGTAGAGCGCTCGCCTTGAGCTGAAGAGCTGAGGGACAGCGCCCAGGCCCAGAGTTCAAGCCCCACGACCGACAAAAAAAAAAAAAAAAAGATTAAACAGGTTTGGAGGAAGGGGCTGTTTAAAATCATTACAAATTAGTTTTCTTTCAAATTCAACAGAAAGCCATTGAAGTTTTTTTTAGGGAAGTGACATGATCTAATTTAAGTTTAGGTAAAACTTGCTCTCATTGCTATGAGAAAGCTAACTAGAAGAAGGTAAGATGAGAAACAAAGGCCAGCTAGGAAACTCTTTCAACAATAGTCTGATTCTACTGATAATTCTGTGGATAGAAAAGTTTGTACAGAATTAAGATCATGGGCTCGGAAGGTAGCTCAGTGGTAGAGTGCTTGCCTTGCATGCATGAGGCCCTGGGTTCGATTCCTCAGCACCACATAAGCAGAAAAAGCCAGAAGTGGTTCTGTGGCTCAAGTGGTAGAGCACTAGACTTGAGCTGAAGAGCTGAGGGGCAGTGCCCAGAGTTCAGGTCCCACAACAGACCAAAAAAAAAAGAGGTGAGCACAGAATTAAGATCATATCTCTAAAGCAGAATGGATCAGAAATCTAAATATAAATAGGAGAAAGTAATTATAGCCTTGTTTTATGCAGAGGTCTTAGATTTGGTCATTGCACTTATAAAAGTTGAGAACTTTAGTATTTTAAAATGTACTACTAAGCATAAGAAGACACACACAGACATGGAGAATATATTTTCATATCTTATGTCTGCTTAAGGCCATGGGTCTAGAAACGAAGAACTCTAGCCAACTCAATAACAGTGCAAAGGGCAAAGTTTTAAAATGGTAGATTTTAATCAAATGGTAAAAAAGTATTAGAAAATGCAAATTGTAACAGTGAGGTGGTACTAGCTCATGTCCACTAAAATAGCTGTGCTCAAAAAAGCAGAAAATACCAGTGTGTTAACTATGCCATGAAGACCTCACTCATTGCTGATAGGAATGTGCAGCCAATTTGGAAAATAGTTTGTCAGTTTCATAAAAATGGAAAATGAGCTTACCATACAACCTTCTCAAAAGCCAGGGCAATATAATACCTTAGCTTTAAAAAAGAAAAGAAAAAAAGGCTACGCAAGAGGATCCCAGATGGAAAGAAGCCCAGGCAAAATGACAGCAATATTCTGTTGCCACAGTAAAAGCCAGGCATGGTGGTTTATACTTATTACTCTATCTACACAGCAGGCATGAGTATGAAGCTAGTCGTGAGGAAAAAAAGACAAGATCCATTTTTTAAAAAACAACTAAAGCCTTTTTTAAAAGGGCTAGGATATCTGATGTATTAAATAGTATCTGTCTAGCAAGTTCAAGGGCCTAAGTTTAAATCCTGGTACCACCACACACATATAGAATTTTTTATTATCATTGATAACACATAAAAATATAATCTTAGTGGAGGCATGAAACCAAAGAGATATTTCTAAATATAATTTTCAAGTATTTAAAAACTAATTAGAAAGTAGACAAATACGTATAGTTTACTGAAGATTTTTACTCATTTCTTAATTGTGTGGTTAATTATGTTCTTAATTGCGCTGTGCTATTATTGAGTTGTCTGAGTTTTTGTTTTGTTTTTTTTTTGGGGGGGGGAGTCCAGTCATGGGGCATGAGCTCTGGGCCTGGGCGCTGTCCCTCAGCTCTTCAGCTCAAGTCTAGTATGCTACCACTAGAGCAACAGCGCCACTTCCGGCTTATTTCTTTTTGCTTATGTGGTGCTGAGGAATCTAACCCAGGGCCTCAGGCATTCAAGGCAAGCGCTCTACCACTGAGCCACCTTCCCAGCCCCTTGTCTGAGTTTTTTATGCACAGATTACTTAAGCGGATATATGACATGCAAATGTATTTGCTCATCTCTTAACTTTTCATTTCTCTCTTTTTTAGTAGGATTATAAGTTGAACCCAAAGCCTCTCACGTGGTAGAAAAGTGTTCTACCACTGAGTTTCATCCCCAGATCATTTTTTTCTTAGAAGTGTCTTTCTAAAATGCAAATTTTTTAAATTTTTTTAACTCTAGTTAGTGTTGTTATATAAATCCTGTTTTTTATATCACCCTTAGTGAAGGATATGAAGCTTTTTTCTTTTTTAGTATTTAAAGTATATTATCCTGTTGAAGTTAATTTTTATGTTTGATGTGAGATAAGACTGAATTACATGTTTCTGTGTCATTCCCCAACTTAGTGCCAGTTGGTTAAAAAGATTACCATTCCTCACTGAATTAGCTTAGCCCTTTTGTTAAAAATCAGTTGACCATAATTTTTTAAGAGCATATTTTTGGACTTTTTCTTTAGTGAAAATTCTCAGACAACTGAATCTCATCATCAATTTAGTGAAAGATTGAGTTGAGACTTTCTAAGTTATGTGTTAACATTTCAATATAATGATTAAAAGCAATCTGAACTTAACACTACTTGATTTTTTTCTTGATTATTTAGAATGTTTAATAGAACTTGAACCAGTGCTGAGAACATTTGAAGAGATAACTTTTCTTGAAGCTGTTATTCAGCTAAAGAGAACAAAGGTAAATTTTGGATAGAAATGTTAGAAACTAGAACTTTCAACAACTATTTACTCATGACGTTTTTAATTGAGTTTAGTTTACCTATGTACTTTCACAGACATAGGCTATAGCTTTGAGGTGGAAAGGTTTGCCAGAAGCTTTGCTTTGCTTTCTCTTTTTAAATTATTTTTTGTGTTGATTGTTTTAAATTTAATTTATTGTCAAGGTGATGTACAGAGAGATTACAGTTACATAAGTAAGGGAGTGAGTACATTTCTTGCCAGACTTGTTAACCTCTCTCTCATTTTTCTCCCACTTTCCTTTCCTCCTGGATCACTCTCTCCCCCCAAGTTATACAGTTCATTCTAACATAGTCTTGTGAGTATCATTGTTGCATTGGTTTACTTTCTTACCAGAGGGTTTACCCTTGCCATACAGATGGCTACTTTCAGATTTAACCTTTCCAGAGCCCTCGAGATTCAGGTATAACTTCAGCCTGTCTAATGAAAGCCACTGATGTATGGTGCATGTCATGCGCTAACATCACCAAAAGCGGATGTGTATGCATTTTAAGCCTACACTGACCTCTTTCTAAATGTGTTATTGTTATTAGAAGGGTGACGAACAGAGGAGATTACAGTTATATAAGTCACGTAATGAGCACATTTCTTTTTGGACAGTGTTACCCCTTCCTTCATGCACTCTTGGTTAAGTTCTAACACCTATATAAGGGATGTTTGAGTGCTTGTTCTCTTTCTGTTGAATGGACTTGGGTTTTTCTGAGCTATATTGCCAAGTTAAGATGAGAATTTATCATGGAAGTCAAAAATTATATTTATTTATTAGGTATTTTGTTCCAGTTTTTCTTGTTTTTGTTTGTTTTTAAAAAGTACTTATGTTGCATGGACAACAGTAACAATAGAAGCTAACATGAATTTCCTAAGACAACTGTCTATTCAGTCTGGCTCTTCTGGATGAAAACAATTGAAGGGACTGTTATTGCTTTTAAAGGCCAGGTGCTATTCATTCGCACCTGTAATCCTAGCTACTCAGGAGGCTGAGATCTGAGGATCACAGTTCAAAGCCAGCCTGGATAGTAAGTCTATGAGACTCTTATCTTCCCTTAACCACCAAAAGTTGAGCCAGAAATTGAGCTGTGGCTCAAATATTAGAGTACTAGCCTTGAGCAAAAAAAAAACTCAAGGATAACACTCATGCCTTGAGTTCTAGCCCCAGGACCAGCACCATTCTTTAAAAACAAAAAATTATGGTGAAATAAAGATACAGGTTGACCCATTGTAACAATGAGATATACAAGACACTGTGTTGAAACTATGTTGAAAACGAACTTTACAGCTTCAGAGCAGAGCCAGGTAGGGAGAAGTTGGGGAGGTGGGGAGGGAAGGGATGATAGGGGAAAAACAAAGGAGGGGGTAACATTGCTTGATAAGAAGTATACTCATTACTCATGTAAGTGTAACCCCTTTTTACAGTATCTTTACAATAAAAAATATATTTAAAATATTTTATTTTCTTTAATTACTTGCACAAGGGAGTTGCCATGCACCAAAGCAGTTTATGAATACAGTGCTTCTTTATCAATGTCACCCCTTTCAACATTCTTATCCAGCCTTCCAACCACCCTTTAACTCACTTTTGTAAGATATGTATTGCATCTTTTTCCATTTAACAAAGCAATTTGTGTATTCAATGCATCTTTTTATGCATTTTATTGTTGTTATAAAGGTGATATATAGCAGGGGTTACAGTCACAAAAGTCAGAGTACATTTCTTTTTTAATAATGTCTCCCCCTTCCCTCACTCTCTCCCAATTTTTCCTTCCCATCCCCCCCCACAAGTTTTAAAGTTCATTTTCAACTAGTATCTAGTGAGTACCACTGTGGCATTTGTTTACCCTTTGTCTCACCATTTCTGTGCTCCCCTGGACCCTCCCAAAGAGAGGTAAAAGAACAAATCTGACAAAAAGAAAATAAAACAAAACAGCCACAAAGGAAAAAAAAAAAAACTCTTGTTTCCATTTCTTGGAGTTCATTTAAAAAAATACTGTTTTATATGATCAGATTCACATGCCTATTGTACCTTTGTATTCCTCTCCTAAAAATATCCTCATTGTGTGTGAATGGCTAGAGAACTGTATAATTTTTTTATGTCCCAGAGTTTGTTTGTTTTTTTTCTGGTCATGGGGCCTGAACTCTGGGACTGGGCACTGTCTCTCAGCTCTTCTGCTCAAGGCTACTGCTCTACCACTTGAGCTACAGTGCCACTTCCAGCTTTTTCTGCATATGTGGTGCTGAGGAATCAAACCCAGGGCTTCATGCTTGCAAGGCAAGCACTCTACCACTGAGCCATCTACCCAGTCCCGTGTCCCAGTGTATTTTTTTTATCCATCAATTGTATGAACTTGTTGACTTATAGGCACATTCTAACTACCACAAATGAGGGAAACCATGTGACCTTTATTTCTGTTGGGTCTGGCTTACTTTCTCTGTCTTTCCATTTCCATATAAATAGTACAATATTATTCTTTCTGATAGATGAGTAGAATCCCATTGTGTGTACACTACATTTTCTTGATCCATTTGTCCATTAAGAAAGATCTGGGCTAATTCTATGTCTTGGCTATGGTGAATAGTACTGCAATGAACATGGTTGTGCTGGTAGCTTTAGTGGAGCCTTGTTTGTGTTCTACTGGATAAATGCCCAAGAGTGGTATTGCTGGGTCATAGGGTAGCTTTATATTTAGTCTTTTAAGAAATTTCCATACTTCCAGAGTGGTTGAACAAATTTATATTCCCACCAACAGTGTAATGGAGTTCTCTTTTGGTCACATCCACACCAGCATTTGTTATTGTTAGTTTTCTTGATATTGGCCATTCTAACTTGGGTGCAGTGGAATCTTGATGTTGTTTTGATTTGTATTTCCCTTATGACCAGAGAATACAATGCATCTTGATCTGTAATACCCTTTCAACATTTTCACTCCCACTTCAACCTATTCATTCCCTTATTTTTCTTAATTTTATGATATATACAATGAATTCTTAACTGCATTCTTCCCCATCCTCCTCTTCATTCTTCTACTCTTCTCCCTTGGCTCCACCCCACCTCTTGCAAGTACCCATTTCCGGTACTTACTTTGTTGTGCTGTGATTTACACTTTCTAAAGCAAGCACTATTCTTGAGGTCAGACTAAGCATTATGTAGCACTCAATTGCTTTCATTAAACTGCACATAGTATGTGATAAAAACACCAGTTAATCAAACACTTTGGTTATGAACAGTCACATTCTACAGTGTCTTTGTTATTGGATGATAGATACTTCTTTGGCTCTTTGTGGGTTTTTTGATTGTTTGTTTTTCATTTTGGTGTCCTGGCAGAACCTTCAGTTTAATGGGAATGTCATAAAGGAATCAACCACTTAGTCAAACTGAAAATTTGTGGTTATTTTGATAGCATTTCACTGAGTCCCTGAGCTTGGTTTCTGAATAGGGGTAGTTATTTCCAAAGATACCACATTCCACTTAGTAGATACAAACTTCTGAAAGTATTTCCTTTTACCTTATCTTTCTAGTTCCCTTTTTCTCCTCACAACTTTCTCTTTAATTCTCTTCTCTTTCAAAGCGAGATGAATGAGCCTATTGTCTCGATAAAGAGAAAGAATCATTCTCCCTCCTTTTTTGTCTCAAAACAACTTTTAGTTGGTATTTTTAAGTGGAGCATTATTTTCATACCATTTAATGTATTCTCTCATGTTCTTATGCTATATTTTGGTTTTACTTAAATTGTTGTGTTGTGGTTTTTCTATTTAAACATTTTAAATCATTGTATCAATTCTTTTTAAATTCTTCTGTCATATTCTTTCTAGGGAACAATAGCATCTGATGCTTTTGGTGAGATGATTTAGAATACAGAGGTTAATCTGTTACATAACATTTCACCTAGCTCGCTAATGGTGTGGCCCACAGTAGAATACAAATTTGTAAGTTGGATGTGGTGATATGTGCCTGTAGTCCCAGCAACTCTGATGCAGAGGCAAGAGAATCATGATTTTGAGACCAGCCTAGAGAGTATAGGTAGCATAGTGAAACTTGCCTCAAAAAAATAGTAAACATGGGACCTATGTTTCTTTGGGCCTGGCTTACTTCACTTATAATTTTTCCAAGTCTTGCCATTTCCTAACAATGAGATATATAGGATACTATGTTGAAAAATGAACTTTACAATTTAGGCAGGGGGATAGGAGGGAGTGTAGTTGTGGAGATGGGAAGGAAGGGATGGTAGGGGAAACAAAGGAGGAAGCAACAATGCTTGATAAGAAATCTACTCATTACCTTGCTCATGTAACTGTAACCCCTCTGTACTGTATTTTCACAAGAAATAACATTTTAAAAAATAGTAAACATTTTCATATAGAAATTTCTAGAAAAAAATTGCTATTTAGAGTGACTTGCTTTGTTACATCATCTATGGGGGTTTTTTTGTTTGTTTGGTTGGTTTTGGTTTTTTATATTGGTCATGGGGCTTGAATTCTGGGCTTGGGCACTGTCCCTCAGTTCTTCAGCTCAAGGAGAGCACTCTACCACTTGAGCCACAGCACCACTTCAGGTTTTCTAGTGGTTTATTGGAGATAAGAGTCTCACTGACTTTCCTGCCTGGTCTGGCTTTGAACTGTGATCCTCAGATCTCAGCCTCCTGAGAAGCTAGGATTACAGGTGTGCGCCACCGGCGCCCAACCATCTATGGTTTTTATAGTTCTTTCCACTAGTCCTATAGCTTGTATTTTGTAGGTAAATACTTCCGGTGTCTTGAAGAGTAAAAACTGCACAATTATTTTCTTTAATATCCTGTTTTATTTCTTTCTAATTCATAATTTCATAAATAATTTCATAGTAATAGATAATTTGAATTACACATGGTAGTTATGAACAGCAATGGTTCATGCAAAGACACTGTTTAGAAGAAATGTTGCAGCAGAGCACAAAGAAGCTTCATATAGAAGCATACCCAAGAGCAACTTTTAAAAAGACACAGAAAACAATGCATTTACAAATGTTTATTGAGCTATTGTTTTCTCCATATTTGGCTAGATGCATCATATGTTCAGGTGAATTTTTTTCCGTCGTAGCAGATAGCTATAACTGTATGCAGAAGTTAGCCATTTTTAAAGTTCTGAAAAGCCACATTACACTGGTGTGGAGAATGAAGCCAACTTAGAGTTCCTTTTTAGTGTGTGTACGTGTATATGATCCTGTAGTCCTCTTCACCTTCCAATTTCCATTCCTTTTCCATTTCTCCCTCCTACTAGTCTAGACTGTTCCCTTTTAACATTCATATTCTGTTATCATTACTATCATCATCATCATCATCATAATTACTATCATCATCATTCTGGGTTTATACTCCACAAATGAAAGCATGATATTTGTTTTGTTTTAGTTTGATTTTTCTTTCTCTATCTGCATGATAATCTCCAGATCCATCCATTTTCTTGCAAATGACATAATTTCACTTTTCTGTATGGCTGAGTATCAGTACACACTGTATTTTACTTATCCATTCATCAATAGGGCTGATTCCACAGTTTGGCTCTTGTGAACAAAGCTGGAATGCAAATATCTTTCTTTTTTTTAATTTTATTTTATTTTATTTGTGAACATACTGTACAGAGGGGTTACAATTGCATGGGCAGGATAATGCGTACATTTCTTACCAAGCATTGCAGCCTCCTCCTTTGTGGAATGCAAATATCTTTCTTGTATATTGACTTACAGTCCTTGAGATAGATATGTGCCCAAGAGTCATATGATAAAATCATAAGAAAGGTCAATTTTTATGTTTTTTTGAGGAAATTGCATACCGATTTCTATAGTGGTTTCACCAATTTATATCACAGCAACAGTGTATTAAGTAGAATTCTTTACCTAATTGTTGTGTGTCTTTATAGTGATTGCCATTGTGACTCAAGTGAGGTAGAATTTTAGTGTGGTTTTGATTTACAATTCTTTTATGGCTAATGATATTGAACACACACACACACACACACACACACACACACACATTTGCAATCATGGGCATTGGGCTCAGGGCCTAGACAATTTCCCTAGGCTTTTTCACTCAAGGCTAGTGCTCTGTGTCACTTCAAGCTACACTGCCACTTCCAGTTTCTGGGGAGTGAATTGGAGATAAGAATCTCACCAACTCTCCTGCACAGTCTGGCTTTGAACCATGATCTTAAGGTCTCAGTCCTCTGAGAGCTAAGATGACACGCATGAGCCACCAGCACCCAGCCATTCATTTATTAATTAGCCATTTATATTTCTTTTTCTGAGAACTACCCAGTTAATTTGGCCATTTGATAATTGGATTATTCATTTACTGTTTAATTTTTGAGTTCTCTGTATATTCTGGATATTAATCCTTTATCCATTGAATAACTGATGATGAAGATTTTCTCCCATTCTGTGCATTGTTTCTTCATTCTGGTGATTGTTTCTTTTGTTGTACAAGGGCAATTTAATGTCATGCATCTCTGTTTGTCCATTCTTGCTCTTATTTGCTGAGCTACTAGAGTCCTATTTAGAAAATACAGAATTTTGTTGGTGGTGGTGGTGGTCATGGGGCCTGAACTCTGGGCCTGGGTGCTGTCCCTCAGCTCTTCAGCTCAAGGCTAGTGCTCTATCACTTAAGCCACAGCACCACTTCTGGTTTTTTCTGCTTATGTGGTGCTAAGGAATCAAACCCAGGGTCTCATACATGCAAGGCAAGCACTCTATCACTAAGCAACCTTCCCAGCCCAGAAACTTTCATTATATCAATCTTTAGAACAATTCTGCATATAAGCATATGTCAATGATGCAGTGCTAAGACTGAGATCTATAATTCACTTATGGCAACCCATTAATGTGCAGTTGGATTCAAAATCTGTTTCTCTAAGACATTTCCCTATTCTGCCTTTAAGTTGGGTATTTTTAATTGGTTTAGATTTTGTTTCCATTAATTTAGTACATAAAATACAAATAATTATAGTTTACTTTGATAATTTTTGAATCATTTTAGCTAAATTGAACATTTATGCTCATTCCAGTTACAGAGTGCTTCAAGTTCATGTGATAAGAAAATGGAGCTGTCTCTGAACATACCTATAAATAATGGTCCACAGGAGGTAAAAAAAAAATATGCATATATATGTGTGTGTGTGTGTGCGTATATATTTAAACCTAAAATGTGAGAAGAATATGAAATATCATTTAGTCTAACTCCTTTCTTTTTTTGTCGGTTCTGGGGCTTGAACTCTGGGCCTGGGCACTGTCCCTGCACTCTTCAGCTCAAAGTGAGCACTCTACTGCTTGAGCCACAGTGCCACTTCCACTTTCTAGTGGTTTATTGGAGATAAGAGTCTCACGGACCTTCCTGCCTGGGCTGGCTTTGAACCATAATCCTCAGAGCTCAGCCTCCTGAGCAGCTGGGATTATAGGCATGAGCCATCAGCGCCTGGCTCTAACTCCTTTCTTAAATGATAAACTAAAGCCCAGGGAGCTTTCAGAATGTTTTTAGTACCTGTGACAATGTCTAATGTGAAATGCAGACATTCTGATTCCCATTTTAATATTTATTCCATCAGATCACCTCCTTGCTTCTTTGGCATTGATTTCTGCCTTTGTTATTGTTTTATACACTGAATAATGTATGTAGCAAGTTACTGATTATAACCACAACTGTATGTATGCCACCTTGTCCTTATTTCTTATAGAAGCCAATAAAAGAAAAAAAACATTTTTTATTGCTCACCAAGAACAATTTCTGCAGTAGCATCCATTCAGACATATTTCATAAGCCATATTTTTCAGAGTAGACTTGTTTATAGATACAGAAAAGTAATAATTCCTTCAAAAGAAGCCTAAAGTTTACTACTTGGCTTTCTACTTACTGCATTATCTGATTTGATCTACATTGTCTAATTTGGTCCCAGAGCCCATGCATGCCCAGTACAAAGCTAGGAACCTAAGAACCAGATAACTAAGATGCTTATTGAAGATCAGTCATGGCAAAACTGGGAGTAGATTCAAGTTCCCCACTACTTTCTCCAGGCTTTCCCTTCTCTTTAGCTTGAAAGAACCCAAGAATAGGCACTTACTCAAAAACAATAAATAGAGTCCAGATTGCAAATTTCCCATCCACTGTTATTGCCCCTGAACAAAGCCTATGGAATCCTGTAGGCTATATTGAAAAAAACAACAACATTATTTCTAATATATAAGTAATGCCCTATCTCCCCCATTTGAGTTAATAAGGAAATGAAGTATGTATTAGTTGGTGATTTTATTTGATTTTTCTTTAATTCTCTGATTTTGTAGTAGTTCTGTCTTCATTTGTATTAACCCCAAAGCAAGGAACTATTTAAAAACTGAAGCTATATCTAAGTTAAGAGTTTTTTATTAACCTTTAGGAATAAAGCTTCCCTGACTGCTTTGCTGTGTCCTTGTTCACTAGGAATCGTGTGGCTCCTCTGCAGTCCACCAAGGTCGTGGCTCTCCTAGAACCTCGAGGTCCCTGGCTGCTACACAAGACAAAAGCTTTTTATCTGGTACTTTAATTTTCCAGTCAGTTTTGACTTATAAACTTTATGTTTTCTTCTATGATGATATTCTTGGCAACCGCTGATGGTTTGTATGGAACATATCTTTCATTTGCATTCATAACCTTTTTTTAAAGTGACAAGATGTGCCTAGGTAAAAATAGCAGTGGCATGTTCACTAATGATCAGCACACTTAGGAAATGAAGACATTACACTGGACACAATGGAAGGGAGAAATGAAAAGTGGTCATATTTTAGGAGAGAGATCCAGTGGTTCAGAAAAAGGGTTTTAGTGTTTGCAATGTACTATTGACAGTCTTACTGAGGGGGAAGTCTGCGTTAATCTGGGTAACATAGCTGCTTGGTGGCAACCCTGAGACATGGCTGAGGCCAGGTCTTTACATAAGTATTGTTCATCTCATTCCCCTACATGAGATTGTCATCATGAAGACCTTTTTCCTGGCTCGAATCTGGACCTCTAATTATGAGCGATAGACACTGCAGGCTAAAGGAGCAACACAGAGGTCCACAAGCTAGAAAGCAGTGAGTAGTTTGGTTTAGCTGATGGAGAAGATAAAGGAAATAAAATCAGGAGAGTCATATTATAAAGAATTCTGACAGGGCTCAACTTGGTGGCTCATCCCTATATTCTCAACTGCCCAGAAGGTAGAGATAAGGTACTTTAAAACAAGCTGATGCAAAAAGTAAGGGAAACCAAACAAGCCAGGCATTGTGGTTCATGCCTGTCATCCCCCCCCCCCTCACGCACACATGGGAGGTAAATAGGTGGGAGTATCACAAACACTGATCCGACTGGGACAATAATCTGGAGGCCCTGTCTAACTAAAGCAAAAAAAAAAAAAAAAAAAGCAGGCTCAAGTCATAGAGTGCTTGTACAAGGCCTTAAATACTGAAGAAAACAAAAAGAGGAGAAGGGGATTCTAACAGTCAGCTAGTTGGTTGTGGGAGTTTTGGGGGTTTGTTTGGGGATTTTTTTTTTTTTTTTGGTTCTGGTTGTGGGGCCTGAACTCTGGGCCTGAGCGCTGTCCCTCAGCTCTTCAGCTCAAGCCTAGCGCTCTACCACTTGAGCCACAGCTCCACTTCTGGCTTTTTTTTTCTGCTTATGTGGTGCTGCGGAATCGAACCCAGGGCCTCATGCATGCAAGGCAAGTGCTCTACCACTGAGCCACCTTCCTAGCCCTGTTTGGGGGATTTTTGTTTTGTTGTTTTTTGCCAGTCCTGGAGCTTGAACTCTGGACCTGGGCACTGTCCTTGAGCTCCTTTTGCTCAAGGTTAGCACTCTACCACTTGACCCACAGCACCACTTCCAGCTTTTTCTGGAGATAAGAGTTTCACAGACTGTCCTACCCAAGCTGGCTTTGAACCGTGATCCTCAGATCTCAGCCTCCTGAGTAGCTAGGATTATAGGTGTGAGCCACTGAAGCCCAGCTAACTAGCTGTTTTTTAACTTGAGTAAGGAATTACTTAAATTTTGAACAGTGATGTAATATAAGATTTTGCTTATATATTCCTGCCTGAAATATGTAAGATATTATGAATGGAAAAGGAGACCTGAGGAGGGGAGACTGTGTACAAGTCCAGGTAACTGGTTTAGTGAAAAGCATGAGGGTTGTGAGAGATATTACAGAGGACCGGGTAAATTGAGAGGACTTTATAATTTTTCACTTGAAGGAATTGAGCAAGAAAAGATCCAGCTGAGTAAGTTGTTGAGACTGGTCACTGGGAGCACACTGGTGCCATTAACAAAACTAAGAGTTGAGAGATAGAGGGACAAATGGTGAACAAATACAGCAATGGTACTCAGTAGACACTGTGTTGAAAATGAACTGTATAACTTGTGGGTGGGGATGGGAGGGAAAACTGGGAGGGAGGAAGGGAGGGAAGAGGTGACATTGTCAAAAAAAGAAATATACTCATTACCTGAGTTATGTAACTGTAATCCCTCTGTACAATAACAGTTAAAAATGGGGGGAAAAAAGAACTGAAACAGATTTCACAGCTAAGCAAACGATTAAGATCCTGCCCCTCTTTTCTTGTTTTGCTTTGTTTTGTTTTTATTTGGGGCACTAGCCCTACCCATAAGAGAGCTGTCCAGTGGGCCATTGAGAATGTAATACAATACTCAACAATGACAAAAATGTGATTATATTCAAAGGTAGAGATGAATAATTCAGGCCCTGAGATTGAATAGAGGGAAAAGTGAAGACACATGTCATACAAGATCAAACACACTTAAAAGACTGTGACATATACAGAACACCTTTCAAGTGCAGAAGGAGGAAGATGACAAATAAATGTAGGGTTATGGGAAGTGAAATTCTATGATTTATATTTATAGGACAGCCAAGTTCAGACTAGAACATAGTAAAGAACATTCAGTATGTACCCTTATTTGTCCTAAAAAGCATTCATTTGCAGAATTAAGTTTCTGAAGCAGTTTTGACAGCAGTGTAAAACAAGACCTTGGAGCCTTCCTGCTCTATGACCCAAATATTGACATTTTTGCTGACAGGAATATGTAGGGAATATTCCATCCTAACCAGGACATTTTGTTTGGAAGGAGAAGCTGAGGACTGTTCCACCGTGAAGCCACATCACTGCACAGTGCATCGCAGCTGGGACAGCTCCCTTACTGCCTCTCAGAGGGCAACATTCTGTGATCACAAGACCATGCCATGCCCTTCAGCAATAATACACCCTCTCCTGTCTGTGGGAAGTTCAGGTAAATACTTTGTATATACAACATGCTGTAAATGGTACATTGGCCTTACATTTTCAAGGCCAGTAGAGTCACCATGAAATTGGATTTCTTTACTTGTAGTTTCTTGATATGGTAAACCTATCTCCTTAAGTTGGAAAGCACTGTCAGGCCCAGTGCTGATGAATAATTAAATAGTCACAGATAGTATCCCAAGAACCAGTCAGCAAAAGAAAAGAGATAAACCTATTTTTAACAAATACACTGATAGCTTCTACATTTGAAACAAACAAACAAACAAAAAACAAACCCCAAAGCAAAAACAAAAAAAGCAGTGTTTGCCCCATGTATACATACAGTATACAGAAAGGGAATATTGGAAAGTAAAGGAGACAATGACCCAAACCTCTGAATGTTTCTTGAAAACTAAGGGCATTCTCAAAAGTACTATTCATATTGTCGTCTTAAAAGAACTAATTGTTAGACTATTACTTTTTTTTTTTTTGTCAGTCATGGGGCTTGAACTCTGGGCCTGGGCGCTATCTACACATTCTACCACTTGAGCCACAGCGCCACTTCCAGTTTTCTGAGTGGTTTATTGGAGATAAGAGTCTCATGGACTTTCCTGCCCTAGCTGGCTTTGAACCATGATCCTTAGATCTCAGCCTCCTGAGTAGCTAGGATTACAGGCATGAATCACTGGCACCCTGCTTAGACTATTACTTTTTCATTCAGATTTTGCAGTCAAGGCTGGTGCTTTACCACTTGAACCACATTTCTACACTTGCAACTTTTTACTGGATAACTGGAGTCTCTGGGATTTGTTTGCTTGGGTTAGTTTTGAACTTTGATCCTCAGATCTGTTTCCTGAGTAGCTAGGGTTATAAGCATGAGCCACTGGAGCCCAGCTTTCAGGTTATCTTCTTTTCCATTATTGTGTGTCTCCCTCACCTTTCTAATTGTTCATCACTGCTCTACCACAGAGCGCCTACAGCCTGGTATAGCCCAGCAGTGGATCTTGAGCAAACGGGAAGATATTGTGAGCCAAATGACAGAAGCCTGCCTTAACCAATCACTGGATGCCTTACTAGCCAGGGACTTGATCATGAAGGAGGACTATGAACTGATTAGTACCAAACCTACAAGGACATCAAAAGTTAGACAATTACTGGATACTACTGACATCCAAGGAGAAGAAGTTGCCAAAGTTATAGTTCAAAAGTTGAAAGACAACAAACAAATGGGTCTTCAGCCTTACCCAGAAGTACTTGTGGTTTCTAGGTCACCATCTTCAAACTTCCTTCAAAATAAAAGCATATAACTGAGTCTTTTTTGAAGAAGAAACTTTATAGATGGTTATTTATGTCTGTTACCTTCAAAATGTTTTTACAAAAGAATGTGAGTATTAGAAGATTTTCTGAAGTTTTGGGGGAGTTGAGAGCAAAGAATCTTCTCCCCTAATATTGCAATATTTTGTTAAATAATGTAAGTAAAAAGTTTGCATTTTGATATATTCTTCAAATTTTCTTGTGTCTTTCATTACCTGAGCCTGTTTTCAGTGTAATAATTACATTTTTCTTGTAGGTAACATTGTCTCAAGACATCATGTTTCTGATGGAACGCATTTTCACTCTGTTTCTCTATAGGTTATTTATTAATTGTCTAAATCAATTGAATTTTATGAAGAGTTTACCCTTATTTGCAAGTCAGGGCCAGTAGGCATTCCTAGTCTACAATTTTCTCTGAAGGATTACTACTTTTTAAACTCCATTATCTAGATTGAATTTCTAACTTTTATTTATAAACTCTTTACAAGGTTGTTTCAAGGAACACGAAGGATATATAAAGAAAAATTAAAATTAACAATGGTTGTCATTCCATTTTTAACTTCAGCCATCTCTTGTCTCTCACCAACAACCAAGCTAACCAAAGACACCAGGGCTTTGAGGACTTTTCCGTGCCATTGTTCCTGATCATATCTGAAGTACATGCTGACTTGATTTGAGAGGTTTTGGAGTGAGTTTAGGTTTTGCTGTTATTGTGGTTTGGTTTAGGTTTAGATTGTTTCCTTATAGGGCTGAAGATTAAATCAAGGGCTTTGTGCAGTTTAGGAAAGTGCTCTGTCACTGAGCTCCATCCGCAGCATAGGTTTTCTCTTTAATTTTTCTGTATTCTTAGAGCCATTATCTTTTAACCCTTTTAACCCTTCCAGATCTGATACAAACCCAACTCATCTTTTTGTTTAAGTGTTTCCTCTCCCCCAACTTTTAATGATTTCTCAGGTAAGGTCTTCCATCGAGGCTGTCCTGGACTGCTGCCTCCTGCCTACGCCTCCTGCCGCCAGACTCAGATTGTCTGTTGATAAATGGCATCACACTTTTTCCAATGGCTGGCTTTTCACCCATCTTCCTCAATCCTGCCTCCTTAGTACTGAAATGCCAGGGGTGAGCCTCCATGCCCAGCCCTAACTCATTATTTTTCATTCCTACACAATATCCAGGCTAATTTTAATTTTCTCAATTGGTTCATGCCAGTTTTACCCCCAAATTGTTGTCATTGTTGTTAATGGGTTATATCACTAACTAAATCTATAAGGATTTTCTCCTGAAAGCTGTTTAGCAAATTCAGGGGCGGGGGAGTGAATGTGTATGATAAACTTCTAAGTATAAACTTCCAAGAAGCACCAAATTTATAACCTGAGGGGGAAAAAAAAGAGAAAGAAATCAAGAAGAAAAACTGGGCACAGAGGCTTGAATCTGTAACGGCAGCTACTCAGGAAGCAAATATTCAAGGCAGTTTAGGAGTTCAGCAAAAAGTTAGCAAGATCCCAATCTCAACCATGTGTGTCATGTAACACACACCTGGGATCCCAACTCTATAGAAAGCATGGGTAAGAGGACCAGCTCCAGGCAAAAAACACAAGACCCTCTCAGAAAAATAAGGGAAGAAAGGACTGATGTATGGCTCAAATGAATAGTAAGAACAAGGCCCTGAATTGAAACTCCAGTGCTACAGTAACTCTAACTGTGCCTCTGAGAAATGCAGAAATTGATAGAGATGATACAGCCATTATGTTCAACAGATGTATGCGAACATGGAACAGGTTACTTGAGAGGATAGGTGGGGTTGGAGAGTTGGAGGAGAACCATGGAAGGAGTCACATTGGTCAAGCAAGATGCATTTTACTCATAAACTGATGTGTTGAATTGAAATGCCTTTATGCAGCTATTTAAAAATAATAAATATTATTTTTAATTAGAAAAAAACTAAAAGAATGAGTTATGATCTACTAAAGAAAGTGTAAATGTAAAACTTTAGGTGGGTACCTGAAGCTCACACCTTTAATTCTGTATCCTTGGAAAGCTGAGATCAAAAGATTTGAGTTCCATGCCATCCCAGGGGAAAAAAAGTACTTAAAAAAGAAGCCAAGGAAGTGGCGCTGTGGCTCAAGTAGAGTGCTAGCCTTGAGCTGAAGAGCTGAGGAAAGCGCCCAAGCCTAAAGTTCAAGCCTCACAACCAACAACAACAAAATAAGACAAGTACTCCACTAAAGAAGCTGAGCATAGTGGCATGTTCCTGTCACCCCAGCTATAACAGAAAGCCTAAAGTAGAAAGATCATATTCTCAGTGCATGTCTGGGCAGGAAGTGAAACCATACCAAAAATAACCAGCGTTTGGCTCAAGTGGTAGAGGAAGCCCTGTGTTGAAACACCAGAATGGAATAACTGAATGAATAAGTTAATGGGCTTTTTAAAGCAAAAATAAAGGAGGTTGAGTCATGGCTCTGGGTAGACGGATCTGCAGTGAGTTGCCATCATTCTAGAATTGTTTCCATCTCAGTGGATGGTTTTCATGACCCTAGTTCCTGATATGCACATTGGTGGCACATTGTATTCCATATGACCACTTATAGAACTGTCTTGTATGGAGTACATAGTTCAGTGGAAGGAAAGCTGGCAAAGGAAAAAAGATACTTTTAACTTAGGCTTCCCAAAATGTGTACAAGTACAGTAGCAATAACAAATCAAGTTGGGCACAGACTCAGCACTAATTAGCCCTTATATAGTAAGCAAGATTTTTATTTAGTTTTTCCCCTAAATCATCTAAGGAAAGGAGATTATCTTCATTTCATGCTGTCATCTGTGTGTGCATGTGTGTTTATGTATGTAGATGTGTGTGCACACGCTGGTCCTGAGGCTTGGTTTTTACACCCAGGCTGGCATACTACCACCTGAGCCACACCTCTACTCTGGCTTTTTGCTGGTAATTGGAGGTTTCTTTCTAAAGAATTTGCTCCTCTAAATAACCCTTACCTCTGGCCCTGCTATTCCAACGCCTTATCTTGTTTTGACTAATATTTGTTAATGTCTAATATTTTAATCCCAGCAACTTCTTTCTTGTATGAGATTCTGTTAACCCCATTTGTCTGACAGCATGAGATAACAATGCTCAATTTATTGCCCCTAAGATGCCTAGAAGAGGGTGGGAACCCAAAGAGGGTGGCCTCTGCTTCCTCTGCCCTTGTACAGCATGTAGTTGCCCTTCCTGCCCAGAGGACTTAGGAAGCTTGCCAGCTAATCCTGGTCAAAGATGAAGTTAGTCTGAGAAGTGTCATCCCCAGCACCATTCCAGGCACAAATTCTACATGTGCCCTATAAAAGGAAGGACTTCCACACACAACTAAGCTCTCATCTGTCCAATGAGCCCATCCGTGCAAAGGCTATGAACAAAATGTGGCCCAATTGTTCTTGGCCAGAGGGTCTCTGAGTTAGACACAAATTGCCTGCCAGTTTAGAGAGGCAATCTGCTCAATAATTATGCTGCTTGCTCTTCATTAGCATCATTGGATGAAGTCATTGCCAGTCCTGCCCAACCAAGATGGCATAGAGTCTTACACAAGAGTCAGATCTTGCCACTGTAGGGAATAAAAGAGGGACTGGGAAGAAATGACAGGAATAGAGTGACAGGATTGGGGCAAAGAGACCTGGGATGACAGCGTTTGGAGTGGGGCAGAGCCCCAGCCGCACTTTTTCAGGCTTAGGCTTCTGCTGGGTGGAAATGACAGAAAGGCAGGACCACTAGCCCTGCCATATACAGATGGGAAGATTGTAGGCAGGTGACAAGACCCTGCACCTCCTCCTGAAATCTGGGTGCAACCTGCTGCATGTGGGCTAGGGCTGTGTAGAAATCAGTCTTCTGGAATACTAGTACCTGAATTGTTGGCTTAGGGTCTTTATTCAGCTCCTTGAGTTCTGCCAACAACTCTATTATTCCTTTTTCTTTAGTTTATTCAGAGTGCCTCAGTTTTGTTTGTCCAATATTCTCCACCTTCTTGATGAGTTGTGGGTTTGTTTTATGGCCGGAGTCTAAGGCTTTGACCAGTCTTTCATATAAATTCTCAAGATTATCTATAAATTCAGAACATGGGCGATTTTCTGTCTTGATTAGATGTGTTCTCAAGGTGTTTCAGGCTCTTGACTTTGGCCATGTTTTTTTGGATGTTGTCAGCATCAGGGTCATTAACTGATGCTATGTGATTTTCAACATTGTGAGGGGCAGGGACACTGGAAAGGGAAAGGAGACTTATCTGTTTCTTCCTTGCTCTCTGGGTGCTAATGCAGCTTTACATTCAATGTATAATTCTCCATCAAAGAATTACAGTGACCTGGTAGACCTAAGAGGCTGCTCTCCAGCCAGTGCTCTAGACCTCCTGTGCTACTGACCGGCACTCCTTGTCCTAGAGAGCCTGTGTCCCAGGAATAAGGAGGTAGGTGAAGAACTGGCAGTGAGGACTAGTATATCACTTTACAGTCCTTCCCTGTCACTTCACAGCTCTGTCCCATGCTTTCTCATTTTGAAAATCACTTGCAGGGTATTTCCCATCTCCAGGCAGTACTTTGCATGCAGTTTCCCCATTTCCACTTCTTCCAGGGTCCCTGACCCTGGTAGCCAGCCCCCTAATATCTCCTGGTCTTTTTGTTTTTTTTTCCAGAGCTGAGAACTGAACTCAGGGCCTCGCCCTTGCCAGGCAAATGTTCTTGCGCCAAGCTAACTCCCCAACCCTGTCTCCTAGGTCACTGTTAATTGCTGAGTTCCCATTGATCCTTTCTGCCCTCCATTCTTCAAAACAATGTCCTAACCTCGAGATTCACTGCTTTCCCTTTCCAGCCACCTCCTGCTCACACTTTTTCTTCTCTTCATCTCTCATTGTATTCATTTGGGACTCCTCCTCCTTTTGGTTAGGTTGGCTAAATTATTTATCTTTTCAAAGAACCAAAGTGTTCTTTCATTGATTCTTTGAATTGTTCTTTTTGTGTTTGTTTCCACTTTGTTAACTTCTGCCCTGATCTTTATTTCTTTCTTTCAGCTTACTAACTTTTATTTGAGATTTTTTTAAGTAGATAGCCAATAAAATCAATATTCTTTATTCTAGCCATAACAATTAGGTGTTTCTTGACCACACTAGGTGTTTACAATCCTGGATTAGTCAACACTGTCCTCTCTACTTT